GCTTCAGTTACACATTGTGAGCTTCCAGATACATTCTCAGTACAGAAAAATGTGCTTCTAACACACTGTGAGTTGTTAAAGGAAAGGTTGAGATATAGTCGCTAAATGTTTAATAAGGGCATAAAATACCACAAAGTTAAAAAAAGTTAGGGTGAATACACCAGTTTGAATGTAATGTTGATGGTTTAAAAATGTTGAAATGTGACTCATTTAAATGTGACTTTGACTTGACAGACTTCAAGTTCTGCTGACAACTTAAATATCCTCAAATACATACAGTTAATGTCCCTAACCACTGTTGGTCAGAATGACCGTGGTTATGTTTGTTTCCTGAACTTCCAGTATGAAGCTGTGCCTGGGCTTGACAACAAGCTTCGAGGTCTTTCTTGCAAATTGTAAGATCACATTAAAAGAAAAAAAAGTAGAACTCAGAAATGCTACATTTGACAGTTGATCATGGAAGATGTTAGCACCTCAGTAACAATTCTTCATTGGATGTGCCAAAGAAAAATTTAAAAAAATGCCCTGTTTTATTTATAAATGACAGTTTTCCTCACAGTGTTAGACTTCGGGTCACTGATGTGGCAAAACCTTATAGGAAGATGGACCGTTATTTATGTTTTCATTATACCTATGCAGTCTGTAAGGACTAGCTATTGGAGCCACGAGATAAGGATTAGAGACAATGAAATTATGGCTAAAGTGCCAGTAAATTAGTAAGGTGCGGTTAACTGGAGTAGCTAATATGTATGCTAAAGTCTTGCTCTCAAAACGAACAAGTGCTAATGACATATTCCTTTATTTTTGCCACAAAACCTGCAGTAGAATTACTTCGAATCACTAGTCACTTACTAGATCTATGCTTGCTTTGCTAATGTGAACACCATCTTGTATTTCCATTTTTGGACTAATGCCTGGTCCCATACTTCAATGTGTTCTGTACTTTCATAAAACAGAGCACAATTTTCCATTATAGATTGATGTGTTTTGCGATGATGATATAACTTGGTAAATTACTTTGTAGTTCAGGCTGACAGAGGGCTATTAGGAAGATATTTTTGAGTGGATAAGTCAAGTCTGTTATCTACTTCTGATAATATAAAATTACAGGTTGTTGGCAAATGAGAAAAATAATTGGAACATATAAATTCCTTTTATATGAGTCTAAATGACAAAGCACCTTGAATTTGTTTCTTATACTTTTGTACTCCTGGTTATTTCATTTATTCATAGCTTTGAATTGTGTGAAAAGAAGGTATTTGGCCTCAAATTTAATAATAAGGACTTACGAATATACACCCATTTTGCCAATGAAATTTCACACTCAGACCTAGATCACTAGCAAAACTTGATCATTATTAAAGTCAACCTTATTTTACAAACAAGTCCTGAACTTCTGTCTGGCTGCTGTCATCACTTTAGCTGTTAGGACCGGAGATACAGTCCACAGAGGGAGACAGGACCAGAGTTGGAGACCAGGCGATGATGGTGCTGTGAGTCTGAGAGTGCTTTGCCATACTGGGATCAGACTGCAAAGCCACAGAGGCAAGTTAGTTAGATGCTCCTGCATCTCCTCAGTATGATCACTGCTCTGGGTGGTTTGATAGTTATTAAAAAAAAAATCACATTTTACTAACAGAAATCCAATATTTGTACAAACTGCTGAAATTACTAGCATCTAAATCACAGAAATCCAATTTTTTTTGTGCTCATCTATAGAATGCTATAGACACTAGGCTAAATGTTATTACTTTTAAGAAGTGTTTCTCAAGCAGCAAAAGACAAGTTTTGCTTTTATTGTCATTCTTACCACTCAAAAGTTGTGTGTAAAGGACTTGCAGATATTACATCGACAGTGCTTTGTGTTTATCCCTCAAGGGAATGAACCTGATTCTTTGATGTGTCTTAGCTTCCATCCAAGGCTTCTAGGCCAGGGATGGTGAACATTTTAGAGCTTCCAATGATACAAACAGCCTACTGTGGCATGCGTTCCAGAGGCTTGCCACCACTGCTCTAGGCTAACTGAGTGTTCAAGTTTAAAACTTGCACCGTATTTGATTGAATAAGCACTTTTTCTTATCTGTGACTTGAAAAAAAATGTGTTAATGAAATGTAAAAGACTGATTGATGTAGTGACAGGCAATGAACACTGCTGACCAAGAAAGATTAAATTGAAAACTTCCCTGGGAAGAATGATAATATCAAAGTAATGAAACATGAGAATATATACATATGCACTTGATTCACACAGAAAGCTTTCTATATAAAAAAATACAAAAGCAACCAGTGCTGTATATTATGTAAACTCACATAGTGTACTTTATACACAAACATGAAGCATAAATTAAAAAGTAGGACAACAGGAAAACGTTTTAAATATAGAAGAATTTGCACATATTTTTGTTAAATAAGAATAAATAATTTTATCACACAAATTCACATACCAGTTGCAAAAACAATAAATTACTTAGTTTTCAGTGCTGCAACTTTTTTGTTTGTGATTTATGCCTTATTCTGAGTTTAATGGGATAAAACTGTTTCCACAGGAAGGCAAAAGAAATTGAATTTGTTAAATAAATTAGAACAATGTTCTTGTATTTCTAAACCACAATACAGGATGTAATTTAACCTTTTCTATTCTAGAGGAAATAAATGCTATTTCTGGGCTCTCTCAGTACTTACTAAAACTTATTCTCGGAGTGTTGTTATGCAAATGAAATTAAATGCTTCCAAATCTGAGCAGTTTTTAAACACTCTTCTTTTTTTCTCTTTTTTTCAGCATCTTGACCCCTAGATTGCTTTTTCTTTTAAATTCAAGATGCACACAAGGACCTGAGTTCAATCCCCGGTACACACACATACACACACACACACACACACACACAAATACAGGTACAGAAAGGTGAAGGACAGTGCAAAATCAAATTGGACTGAATTACAGAGCCATAGGGCACTTATCTCTGCTCATTATTGTCATTATTATTTTATCTACTGAACGTTCTATTTCTCTGAATATCAATTCCCAGTCTAAATAACTTTTCTTAATTTAGGCATACATTCCTCAGTCAATCTAGTGATCCTCATTTTTAAAATACAGAGAAACTTAAAAATCCTGAAGACTGGTTTACTTTTTCTAACCTTTCTAATTTGGTTTCAGTGAGATGTATAGAACTTCATGACTCTGGGGAGAAGTGAGTAATTGATAAATACTATTAAAAATCTATGAATATAGTATAGTAAAGCAGAGGAGGAGGCAACCATGTTTACTGGCCAAGAGTATTTAATGTTGTTGGACATATAACCGCAAAAGATGAGAATGAATTTTGTCACATTTGAATCGTTTGATTAATTTTCAAAATTGGATAAAGTAACATTAAAATTTTTATTAATTCTGAATGGTAGTGTGGTTTTTAAAAATTCTTTTCTTTGATGTTCTGGGTGATTTGACTCACTTTGTTTCCTGCTCTTGTCCTTCTTATCTGGGGATCTCCATCAAACATAAGCTACTAGTCTGGTGTAGAACCAATTCTTGAAATAATAATCCCTTATGATAAAAATTACTATGTCTGAAGTAAAATTATTTTCTGAAGATCCAAAAGATGATTATTGGTTTAATAAAACAATTATCTGTTTGAAAAAATAATTTCTTTAGAAAATATTTAAAACACTGAGACATATGTTTACATAGCCCCTGAAATGATTGAATTAATGTGATATAGTGAGATCATTGCCTAAATCTTTTATAATAAAAATATCTTATGCTAAAAATAAATTTTCATAAGTTTAATGGAACCCAATCAATGATTCCCTAAAATGTCTATATTTAAATCTTTAACAATAGGCACATTTGGTATGGTTATTATAAAATTTTATATAAAATGATTGGCATTTTTAGTATTTCACAACAAAAATAAATCTTTATGGACTAAAACTTTTTGGATTTTATGAATTATGGGCATATGGATATATAGTTTACAATCTAAAAAGAGATTTTCATGTATATGAATATAAAATATTTTCAGTGCCTGACTCTTCAAGCATCTAACATACCTAGAGAAGATATGGAAATAAATGCATTAAACTTCCTGAAAATCATAGCATTTTATCACTCACATATGTACTGGTACAACCAAACACTTTCCAATTGAGAAAAATCTTTACTATAGTAGGACTATATTTATATTAAAATTAAGAAATCATTGCCTGTGGTGTGGAAACAGTCTTATTAATGTTAACCACTTTTTAGCATTAACCACATTAATGATGATTACCTCTTCTAGATGTGGCTTATTACCAAGTGATCTTTAATATACCTATTAAACCAAACCAAAAAGAAGTACAAAGCATTGTAGATTTTCAGAACCCTTGAATGAAATACACAAATAAGCAAAAACACATTTTAAAGGCTTGCTGGTAAGAGGTATACCAATGTTGAAAGTGTTGGATGTAACAGAAAACTCTATGCTGTGTGTTCTGCATGTATATTACACATTGTAAGAAAGTAGTTGGGAGCTATAGAAAGTACAAGCAGTTGTGACAATATAAATTGAAAGCATGGTGACATATTTTTTTTCTTTAAAATTCCAACACAAGGAAACAAATTTTTTGACTCTTGAATACTGATCCTATACACACAGACACCATTTCTACATTCTATTGGTACATTAATTTGTCTGGCTGCCTGAAAGAAAAACACAAGCAGTCAAAGGTTTAAGTAGATGGACCCAGGTATATATTTAAATGACTAATGCATCCAGATCCTTTTTCTTTTCAGAATTTCTCAGAAAATGCTTGCTGTTAAAATGGTTTTTGAATATATTTTGTCTCCTATAGTCAGAAAATATGCTAAATCTTATTAAAACAGCAGCAAGTTCTTAATTTCCAGTAAAATACCTACAGCTCTTTCTGGAAACTGGAAGTCGAAATAGCTGTAGACCTACTTTGGTCAAATACTTTTTGATAGAAGTATATATATATGCATATGCACACACACATATATACACACATATATAAATAGAACCAAGCGATATAAAGTGACATACCAAGGGAAAATGCACTTACAAACAATAAAAATAAGCTACCGTGTATCGTGGATGAAACTGATTGCAATGCCTTTGAAGACATTCTATAAGAGGTAGGTGACAAAGGGGAGATTTTTCTGCTATCTTCAAATGTCCCCTGATTCTACATTCATTAGTGTTTTACCTATTTACTTTGTGTTCTTGCAAGCCCAGGGGATGTTAAATAACTCCCAAGTTTTTCTATATTTCAAGGTCACCATTGTCACATAAAGCAGTGCATGTCTTCTTTTCATCACCGCCAGGAGCTTCTGCCCATAACTTGACTCCTGGTGACAGTGCCACTGATGTGTGACTTTCTGTGCATGGCGTAGACCTCTTGTTCCTCACAGCTGTCTCAGTGATGCATCCTCCAGTTATCTTTGTGCAGAAGAGCATAACCACAGGCTAACATTTCTTCAGCAAGCATTGTTTAAAAGCAGAAGGCCTCTGAGAGAGAAGACATCCCTTTGCTAACTTCCGGTTTCCATCCTGGCACTGCACCATCCTCGTGTGCCAGCCTGTGTCGCAGGTCCTAGAACAGGCGAGCCAGGGGCCTGTCACCCACTGCAGCTGTGAAGTGTGCATTCCCACTTTATTGCTGCTATGACTAGTGACAGAGTTTACTGCTGGAATGGACTTCTTGGGAACAAAAAAACTATAGCGGACATCTAATGCTTTAGTTGGGTCTGTAGCAAGAATCTGCACGATCAGAATTTCCTTGGTGGCCGAGTAGCCCATTCCATGCAAGAAATCATCCCGGTGGCTCCAGCCGCTGTAGTTCATGACTGTGCCGTTGATGTCAATGATGGTCTCTGTTGTGGAGATCATGTACTTTCCGTTGATAAGGTACTCACCATTTTTCTTTTTCAGGGCTAAGTAGGCAGTGAATCTCGTCTGGTCTTTAACTTTGAACTGGCGGACTTTTATGTGGGTTGCTCCTTCGGGGATCCTCACAACATCAGTGTAACCCTTACTGGAGGCAGAAATGTTCACAGAAGAACAGAGAACAAGAAAGGGGGCAAAGGAGGGGAATAGAGAGAGATAAAGAGGAGGAAACGAGAAAGTAAGTAAATGCTTCAACTGATAAAGAAACAGTAATTCTCTAAAAGCTGTCATCTTAATATAAAGCCTTAAAATATACTTAGGAATCTAAGGTAAAACTTTGTATTTGGATAATGACAACTTTGCACTGTCACAGGAAAAATAGATTTTCAACAGCTTACTAAATGTTCCTGAATGCTCAGTTTCCCTGTGACATTCTGATAAACTGAATACGGTGTTAGGATAGGTATCAAGTTTGCTGGTCTAAAGCTTTGTTCCAGTCATAGAAGGGCAAGGTTTCTATGTCATTACCTCTTTTTATTGAAGGTTCCGATAACTTTTGTACAACTGGAGTTGTCACCTCCACATACTCCGCACTTGTCATACTGCAGTTTTGATCCAATGATTCCATCACAGCCGGTGCGTACACACCTTCCCCGCACGCAGACAGAGTTACTATAAGGCCTGCATTCGGTCCCGTCTGTCACCTGAAACACGGCAGACACCTCAGCATGGGGTACATCGGTACACCAGTATTTGGTTCCGTTGGAAAACTAGCAAGTTCTAATTAGAGTCTAATTGGATTAAATCATACACTGGAAAAGAGCAGGCAACTAACAATCAATCAACCACTTAGCTTTCACAAGCATGTAACTGAAAAAATCTTTGCTATACCATCAGTAGGAAGATCTGGAGAGATCCTGGTTATGCACTTCCTCTCAAACTTAGATTATCCAAGGTACCGATCTCCATTGTTGTATGCATAACAAGTTCCTACACTATTACAGTGGTACCTCGGTTCACAAACTTAATTTGTTCTACGATTTGGAAAAGTTGGCCATGTTGGTGTTTGTGTGGGAAAGATAGCCACAGTTGTGTTTGTCACCCTATGTAGAGGTTGCAAACAGAAACAAAATTTTGCCAAATACTTATGTTTGTGAATCACACTGTTTGTAAACAAAAGTTATTTGTGAGCTGAGGCAGCACTGTATCTTGGCTTTTTACAATGACCAAAACAACGTATTTGCTTAGTGTATGGGACTATCACTCCTGTGAAGAGCTAAACAAAAGCTGGCTTAAAAACAGAGATTCTTCTTTGTTGCATAAAGGTTATTATAGAAACAAGTTGAAAATTAAACTTACTCAAGCCGTGTCATAGGCCGAAAAACATTCCCCATCGTGTGTTAGACTATTAAGACAATGCAACACAAACAAACAGGTGACTGCAGAAAAGTACATGCTAACAGAGATCGAGGATATTTTGAAGAAAGAAATAAGTATATGTTGTTGAAAAACTAGTTAAGATAGCATATAAAATAGCATATGAACATTTGTGGCTCACGAAGGTGAGAGTATACAACATATAAATGTGATTTTTTTATTTGTGTGTGTACAAAATTCTATTTTCATACATGTGTGTGTGTAGGTCAAGGTGTGTGTGTGTGTACATGCACATGTGTGTGTGAACTGAAGTAGGATATACTTCAATAGATTAACAGTTCTCCATATGGTGGTATTTTTATATCTGTGTAATATTTTTAATAAAAATGTATTTTTCCATAGGTGAAATATGATATTTTAAGAATTACCTATGTTGTACATTAGCTTATTTATCAATAACATATATATCTGAAGGCCAGTTTCAGAAGCATTTTAAATGTAGTACCTGTCTGCAGATTAAAAATTCAGCATTTTTAAATTGCAGCCAAAAACTGAAAGAAAAAAAAAACCCGTGGTATATTTAGAAAATGTTATTTTGTGTAAAATAAGAGGTGAGATATTGATTCATATTAAGGGTCCAAGACTTATTGAAAAGCTTGAGGGACAGGGATTTTAGCTCAGTGGTTCTACCTCCTGCCTCACAAGCACAAGGACCCAAGTTCGATCCCCAGCACAAAAAAAAAAAAAAAAAAAAAAAAAAAAAAAAAAA